ACTAATTATAAATTTTTAAACCCTATATCTTAAAATTCTAAACACTGAAAAATGTTTTGACACCTAAACCCCCTAAACTTTCATAATTAAACCCTAATAGAACATAATTAACCCAAATATAAGTAATAGGAAGAAAATATAATTTTGAAAAAGTGGTATTTTGTTAAATATTTTAAAAGTGTGGCATTTTTGTAAAGTGACACTTGAAAAGTGGCATTTTTTGAAATTTCTTGGTTATTCACTTATGGAATTAGTTATATAATTTTGTATTTCTATTTTTTTTAAAAAAAGGTTGAGCGATGACAATGAAATAGGATAAGTAATGGACCTATTGGTTGTAATTATTTTTTACCAACTAATATAATTATATTTCTCTATTATAAAAGGAAAAAAGTTGTGACTTTTAAGAATGGTTACAAAGGGAAAAGGATAGTTTTGCTGTCACTATTTTTAATAAATTTCTATTAAACCAAATTTGTCAGAATTACTTGTATATTACTAATTTGCGACCTTAAAAATGAGGAATAATTTATTTTCTATATAGAAATTTTTTTGTCTCCTTTTACAACGGACTAGCCTAAAATGATAAATATATTAAAAATAATTTTTTGGACACATAAAATGCATTTTGACAGCTAAGTAATTGTTTCTTGAATGTAGAAGAAAAGATAAGACAGTTTATTCCTTCAAAAGATATATCTTATATATATAAACATAATTCAGTAAATAATATTTGCACTGAAAACTTGTTACTCTCTCAAGCAAGAAGAATCAGAATCTCTGGTAAGTGTCGAAAAGAAAGAAGAATAACTTGTTGAGATTTTCAACTAGAGTTAATTTATCTTTCCCTATGCAATTTTTTCTTTTAATAGTCTTAATTGATGCTATAACAATAGTTCTTTATTGATTTCGTTTGTTATGGTTAATTATTACAGTGATTTCGGCAGACATGAGCAATGCAATCCAGCACGAGAGTTTAAGCAGTGGAGCAATGTGTTTTATAAGAAAACCTATCGACTCAAGTGACCTCAACATCGTATGGCAACATGCTGCAAACTGCAATATGAATGGTAATTTCGTATTAATGACAAATGTCATTTGAACAACAATAATAATATTGTTGTTTCTCCTTATTGCAATTTGATTCAAGATATGTTTTATGATTTATATTACGATATGTCTATTCAGATGGTTCAAAAAGAATTCAGGAGTCAAGTTCAACTAACAATCCATATGATGGAGATGAGACAGATCCAACCAACCATCCAATTGATGTTGATGGAGATTCGACGAATCCAAATGATGGAGATTCTGGAGCACAAGTTGTAAAGAAGCCTAAGCTCAAATGGACGAACTCTCTTTATAATCAATTCCTGGATGCCATTGAACGTATTGGTCTTGACAGTAAGTATTTAAAGTTCTTTAACTTACCTCTAAAATATATTAAAAACTTAGTACCAGCTTACTAACGTCTGAAAATAATCGATGATATCCAAAAAATTATGCGATTTAGTTAAGATAAATGATATCATTATTGCATTGTTTGACGTCGGTAAATTAAGTAGAATTGGATCTATATAGTTAAGATCGACTTTGATTCTTTGACTTGTTTAGAAGTTAGGGTTCATACATATATAACATGAGTTAAAAATTCATCTTAAATATTTAACGTCAATTATTATAACCGTAAAAAATACTAAATCTCATATTAATTGATGAAAAATTAATATCGACATATATTAACATCGATTACAACATAAAAATGTTTGTATCCATTGATTAAATTTACGTAAAATATTTGCATTATGAATTATTTCTATAAGTAATGTAAAATTCATTTACGTCGATTATGAAATTCACTTTTTTACGTAAAGAGTAACTGCACGTTATATTTTTATAACGTAAAAATGACTATAAATTAAATAGAATTCTAAATTCATACCTTTTATATGTTTTAAAAATAAGCATATAAAAACAAATAATAGGATGAGAGAAGAAATTTAAGTTCATTTACGAACTATCTTTATAGTTTTTTATTGTTGTTGGAAGTCATATGGTGATAGATATAACTCTCCATTGTACTTGCATTTGTCATATATATGTTATGTGTACTAACGTTTTATATTTTTGCTTGATGTTTGATATAATTTTGAAGAAGCTGTGCCCAAGAAAATCTTAGAGACCATGAACGTGAAAGACCTAACAAGAGCACAAGTAGCCAGCAAATTACAGGTTCGATCTTGTTAAACATTGCTTGAAGCCAACTATATACTTTTTTTTTTTTTTGTCAATCACTAGATACTTATATATCTTATATATTGTTTCGACACATATTAATTACATATAATTTCATAAAATATATAACTAATTTAAAATGTTGAAATTGTTGACACTACACAGAAGTACAGAAAATTCTTGAAAGAGGTGAAGGACAATGGCACAGATCTAACATCAGTACAATTGTCAAGAAGAGGTGTGAATTCCAACTTTGTATCATCAAGTTACATCGACCCGCAACACTCTAATAACTCCAACACAAGCCTAGGCAACAACAATGATATCTTGTCCCAACTTCGCTATGGTGTTGGTCAGTCAAACTTCATGATCCATAACAATCCTTCTAAGTCCCAACTTAGCTATGGTGTTGGTCAAGCAAACGTCATGATGAACAACAATGCCTTTAAGTCTCAACTTAGCTATGGTGTTGGTCAACCAAACTTTAGGAACAACAATGCTGGTTCACATGATTCCATCCACTACATGAACCGTAGGCCCACCTACGACATGAGCCAAACCGGATCTGACTTAATGTCTATGAGAACAAACTTCGGGGTTCCGAATGGAATGTTGCCTTTAATGGAGAAGAGTGTAAACATTTTCGGAACTTCTCAAGATTCTCAAGCTCCTAAGTTTGGACAATTTGATACAACAAACAATGTTTTGGGTTTGAGCTCCAATCTTACTACTGGTCATATGGGGGGTAATTATGCTGGGATCGAGCTAAGTGAAAATGGAGATTTGATTGCACCTGGTGGAATAAGAGTTCATGGTAATGGTAATAGTTCTCTTGGTGAAAATTTGGGTGCTATGAACTGGAAATCCAATAACACCAACATGAGTAACCATGGAA